ATTTAACCAAATATTTATCCAGAAAATGATATTGAAAGTGGGATTTCTATATGATCACTTGTACATAATTATACTATGAGTAAATCATCTTCCATAATCAAACCTCAAATATTGAATAAATCTTATCAAAAATCAAAAAAATAACTCATTAAACTTCCTTAATATACCAACCCACAAGAAACCCATATTTGAAGATAAAAATAATATCCAACATTTTCACTCTTAAACTGATAAAAAAATTTTAATTCATGAGCTTACCAGACCTCAGCACAGCTTCTACCAAATCTAACTGCCCTTTATGTAATAAACTCGTTAAAGTAACCAGGGCTATTGCCATCTCATCGAAACCAGAAGATAAAATGTCCTCAATCTGGACTTCCCATCTTATCACCAGCTATCCCTCGAACCCTAAATGCCTTTTCTACCCTTGCCCTCGCATAACCTATAGTTACCATTCCCACGTTGACTGATGTGCCTACTAGCCCAATAGTCCCCACCTCAACCGCCGAAAATGCTCTCACTTTCAATCCAACCGACTCCACAGATGTAGAAATATTTTTAGTCACACCAAAACCATTTGTGATTTCACGAATACCTAAGGGAGCAAGACTTCAAGTTGCCAAACACCTCTCAAAGAACTTGACTTCCTTGATAAATAATTATTCTTCCATAAAACACTGGCTAGACACCCTGTCATTTGCCTTTACTACCTTGCAAGTTCCTGATCCTGCCAGCAAAAAATCTCTGACACAGCAAATCAAGGATGCTACTATCTACCCCTTACCCATCAATCACTTTTCCACATCTTTTAAAGGTGATGACACTGATAAAAATAAAAATCACAAAAATGACCTACTCACCAAGGCCAAGCTTATATCTAAAAAGCTGGATAACCTGAATGTTAAATCCGCCATACGACTGGCAACATCTGACAATAAGCTAGCTCCCTACGATCAAACAACTTATCAAGCTCATCTGACAATAAGCTAGCTCCCTACGATCAAACAACTTATCAAGCTCATCTGACAATAAGCTAGCTCCCTACGATCAAACAACTTATCAAGCTCATCTCCTAAAACACCACCCACACGATCTTAAGGACGAAATACCGTCTTACCCCGAAGCTCCTCTAATTGCAACCACTTTTACCTCAAGCGAGGTTAGAAAGGCTATCCTCTCCTTCAAACGCGATTCTTCACCGAGGGTTGATGGGTTTCGCCCAATATTCTTACAGGATCTAACCGCACCTTACATCACACAACAATGCGACGTTTTGGAAAAAATTACTCAACTCATCAACCGTATGCTTGCTGGAGGCTTACCACCCGCCATTATTCCACTCCTTTATGGAGCTAAACTCATCGCCCTCCATAAACCTAATAAAGATATTCGCCCTATCACTATTGGGACCACTTGGCGCCGATTAACCGCAAAGCTAGTAGTGAGCAGAATATTGTTCACAGTATCCAATCACCTGTGCCCTAATCAATTAGGAGTCAACGTAAAAGGGGGTTGTGAGGTATCCCTACACATAACCAGAATGTATCTACAAACAGACCCCAGTGACGATATCCTAATTAAGATAGATTTTTCAAACTTTACCCAGAATACTCGCAATTCATCTTCGATTGTTATGCTAGTCCATGGCATCTTCAATTTGGAGATAGATTGATTCCTTCTAGTAGTGGAATACAACAAGGTGACCTTCTAGGTTCGTTTTTATTCTGTCTGGGCATTAATAGCCTAATACAAGGCATAAATGATCAATGTAAACTAAACCTTCATAACTGGTATATCGACGATGGTACACTAGGCGGCTCACCCAGCGAAGTTATGAAGGCGGTCGAAATAATAAAATCCAGCGAGAGCAGTTTGGGACTGTGAATCAATCAAGACAAGAGCGTTGTCCTCTTGGAATCATCGACCTTAACTATGATCCTATGTTCAATCATACACCATTGAACTTCTTAACTCGAATCTCCAGTGGGTAAAGACGAGTTCTTTGTCAAGTTCTTCGCCGACACTCTACTAGAGATATCCCTTATGCGCGGTACACTATCTCGCCTCCCAGCCCACCAAGCGTTCTTTCTATTAAAGAACTACCTCCTAATCCCAAAAATTCTATATACACTCCGATCGTCACGTATCTTCCAATACGACGTCAACCTCGCTGCACACGAGCTAGAGATTAAACACCTCACAGAGGATATACTCAATCTCAAATTCGGAGACCTATCTTGGCTACGAGCTACCTTGCCAACCAAATCCGGCGGCATTGGCATATGATCGCCTTCCCTACTCTCTGTTAGTGCGTTCATATCCTCTCGCCTGTCCTGCGAGCCCATCATACACGCACTCACAAAACATCCTGACCCTTTACTTCCCCAGGCAATTGATCTATGGAAATCTCTTTCATTAGTCGATCCTCCCTCATCGGCACTGCAGAAGGACTGGGATAAGCCTCTAGTTGGCAACTTCGTTGCATACCTTAAATCGAGGAGCCAACCCGAGGACCATTCTCTACTCTTCTCCATTTCCTCAGACAGCGGATATGAATTTCTCGAAGCTTTTCCATCGCGAAACCTTGACCAGCCCCTAAGCAATGATGAGCTACGTCACGCCATCGGTCTAAGACTTAATTATGATATGGTAATACCCTATCACTGCATCCTTTGTCAAAGGCCGGTCAACTCCAAAGGCCGTCACTCTTTACACTGCAAGCGCAGTAGAGGCAGATTCATTAGACATTCAAAATGCAATGATACTATTGCCAGGGCCCTAAAATCTGCCGGTATCCCATCAACCCTCGAACCTACTGGACTCTACAATTCTGATGGTAAGCGTCCCGATGGCTCTACCATGATCCCTTGGAAGAGGGGGGAATTCCTAACCTGGTATTTCTCATGCATCGATCCCCTTGCCCCTTCCAATATAAATAGAGATGCTCTAGTAGACGCCAAGACGAATAAACTCGCTAAGTATTCGCCATCGCTTCCGGCCAATTACACATTCCTACCACTAATCGCCACGACTCTAACGTCGTTCAACTCTCATGCCCTGGCTTTCTTTAAAGAGCTGGGGAAACGGATCTCTACTAGGACCGAAGATCCCAACGAGGGTTATTACCTACGCCAAAGATTAGCCCTCAATATAATAAAATCCAATTACCTCAGGTTCATATTCTCAATGACTGATACCCCCTAATCACAGAATCGGCGATAAGAAGAGCAATTAAGAACAAGAGAGGGATATTCAGATGGAAGTCAACAAAAGAACCAAACCCTAATCACAGAATCGGCGATGAGAAAAGCAATTAAGAACAAGAGAGGAATATTCAGATGGAAGAAGAAAAACTGAAGGGCAAACTATGAAAACTCATAATTCTTTTAAATCATATGTTCAATTTATTATATTAATTTACTATATATTTATTTATATTATTTAAATATATTATTATTTATCCTTAAAAGATATACTAACAAATGTGATTATTTTTTAAATTGACATATTAATGAAATTTACTATTATATTGATCGTTATTATATCATACATTTTATATTACGCTTTATATAAATTTTATTGAATTATATATTTTTAAAATATATTTATTTACAATAAATTTTTAATATAATAATCTACATAAAAATTTATACATTTTGAAATCTATTTTATTGTATATTATCATTAAAATAAATGCATAGTTAAATAACGAGATTTTATTTATACTAAAGTATTTTAATAATAAATAAAATCTATATCTAAAATTTAAAAAAGAATTATTTTTAACACTCAATCAGGTATATTGAGTGATTTTAAATAATATAAGGTTCGGGGAGCAAATTTTTTTCTTTCTAAACTATATGGATTAATTTACAATTGACTAAACATAGATTAAATTTTTAGAATAATGTTTTCAGTGTTCAGTCGCTTATTAATCATAAATTTAGCCAAAATTGTTACCAATATTTTTTTATTCATGCTTGTTACTATAGTGATTAGACACTAATAAAGCACATAATATTGCCAATATTTAAAAGTAGAGTTTGGTGGCTTCGCCCCCCAAAAAATTTTAACCCCCCCCCCATGGATAAATCCTGGCTAATCCACTGCTAATATTTAAAAAATCTCATGAAAGATTACCAAAAATTTGTGTAGCAATTATTAAGAATAAAGGTGGTCATATTGATGAAACCAAAATTTGATCTTAATTAATTGCTATGTCTTTTATTTTTTGTAATTTTATGCAATAATATGTAAACTTATAAATAAATTTGATAAGCCTCATATTGTGTGTTATTTGTCTTATTTTAAGAAAAATGCAGGGTAGACAATCATTTATGGCCGGTAGTGTACGTCTCTTCAAATAAAGATATCATATAAGATGGTACAAAAATTTTATCCTTAAAATCCTATGTTTAAAGTTTCGGTTATAAAAATCATTACCTTTTTTTAAAATTTTTTTAATTAAAATCAAAAAATCAGATTTGAATTTTAAAAAAATCCAATTTTCAGACTATAAATGATTTAGTAAGATCGGTCTTCTGATTTCGATCCCGTTTTGGTCTTAGACCTCATGTTTTAAATAAGCCACCTTCTAATATTATAGATCCAACCAAAACAGAATAGAACAAAAAATCGACAGGAATTTTCTAGAAACGGTATCTGGTCAGATATTCATTCCGGTTCCAGTTTTAAACGTTAGTTAAAAAAATATGGACTTATAAAGAAAGAAATAGAAAAGTTAGAATTATGGGTGGTGGGTTTTCAAGCTTAATTTCCGGTTTCATATCCATAGGTGGCCCTTATAAAAACACAAACTATTTATCATTAATTTCTGTCGGATACTATTTACAGTTTCAATCCAAAAATCTAAAAATCCTCCCTTAAACAACTTGCTATTTTTTCTACCATTTCGTTCGAGCAGTCTTTTTCTTCTAATTAAATTTAATCATTTAAAAAAGATGGATTAACAATATCAAATAAATCAATAAATAACTGACCTCCATGTCTACCGATATTTACTCCCCCTTTCCCGAACACGTTTCCCCCTTTCCTGTGTTCGACCCTTCCGTCTTTCGCTTTACTGCCATCTATATTGATGATTCCTTGTTCCCTGAAAAGCGGAATATCGTATTTGGCTAATATCCTAGCCGGGGCATCGGCGTTAACTTCGTCATCTAGAAATAGTTTTTCGCACTCGTCTTCCGAATCTTCTAAGGCACCGTAACCAAAAGCCTTTTATTTAATTTTAAAATACGGCAAATTGACAGGGAAAATAAAATGAAACATGATTTATTAATTTGTATAAATATCGCTTGTAACATTTCACTCGTTGTTACATTTAAATTTCACCTTCTTTTATTTACACTGAAATTTCATTGGTTCATTCAAATATAATCTCTCATTGGTTCCTTCAAATTTCATGAATCAAAAGTTATGTGACTTGTATTAAAATAAAACATAAATTACTTTCTTAAATAGATCCCCAATGCCAATCGAAACGAAAAAAAAGCAGAAGCTTACCTTTTTTGCTTCGATGTCATGAAAGATAAGTGCGACCCACAATGATGGGTTTTAATCCGTATGCCTGCGCACTCAAGCTTAACCTGCTAGCCCTTCTATCTAAAAATTTTGTTTAACCCACGAGACCAGTTTAAAAATAATTTCATTAGTAGATTTGGCTCGTTATTTATTTTATTTTAATGCATTTTTACTTAAACTTATAATATATGAAATATTATGAAATATGATTTTTAATAAATGGAGGTCTGTTCTGCTCATTTTGCAGGAAAGATATATCAAATTACTTGGTCATGGTTTTAAAATATTTTCGCCCATCGTAGATTTCTAAGATAAGCTATATTTTTTTAAAAATACCTGACCAGTGATTCCTTTAGTCCTCTTAGTTCTGATAGTTTCCTCGAAGGTGCTGCCTATGCCCGCGAAATAATTGGAGGTTTTTTTCGTATATTTCGATTCGGCCATCTGGGTCAAAGTAGCTGGCTCCATTTTCGACGTCTTGGTGTAACCCAATCCATAATAGTCATTTTTAGGTAGGATGATTATCGGGTTAATGTCTGGCGGCAAAAACTCAAAAATTTCTGTTTTTTCCTAAAATTATTATTTCTTAATATATTTTGTTATAATAAATTAGCAAATTTTTAATCTTTATAAAAGTTCACCAGGAAGAAATTTAATTTAAAAGAAAGAAATATGAAGGAATTACTGTAATGGTAGATTTGATATGAAAGTCTTTTATTGGCAGGGTTGATGGAGAATAGCTTTTGAATCCCGGAGGTAAACTGCAACCATATATTTTTTTGCCTTTAAATATATATTCGAGGTTTTATATTTAAAAAAACATGATATCTAAAATATGCACAAATGTGTAATGTGAGGTATCGCTTATAATAAGCAAAAAATATAGCATAACTGTATAATTTAGCTTTATATATTTTATAAATTCCGCGCTTGCTATAAACGAGGCCTAAGGCTTGTGGTAAAAACATATATTTTTAGTTTCGAGCCTTTCTAAAAAAAACAAAATAAATAGAACAGTATGGGTTCAGCCATCTCGAGGCTAGATAAGAATATAATAATCTTATATAATACTAATTCATAAGTCTGGAGGATCTGATATTTTCTTAAAGATACCAAAAAAGGCACCGATTCTATATCGATATTAAATATGGATGGTGGGTTCCTAATAAGTAATACATCAGAATCCATTTATTATTTAAAGGGGTTTATTTAAGGATTTTGGCTTTCATAAATAACAAAGAACAAATGCGATAATAATCAAAATTATTCTTTCTAAAAAAATTCTTTGTCGTTTTAACCAACCAAGAGCCTAAAATCTAAATTTCCAATTATAAATTTTCCTAATTTTGATAAGCTAAGTGTGCCTAAAATAAATTATACCGAACTATGGAAACAAATTAGAGACTTAGTTAAATTATTTTGTACTTTATTTTACCCTGTGACATGACGCACAAACCTAGTCACGTGATTATAATAGCTGATTTTAACAGGGGAGGGGTAGAACCATGTCGAATGAGGTTCTAAATATTCATCTTAATCATAAAAGACATAAAATTTACAAAAAACTATTTTTATTCGATTACCGATTTCCTTTGACTTTTCAGCGAGGAGGGGTTTATCTTCGTCCAGCGATTCCTCAAAATTTAGGTACTCCGTATTAATCACAACGCCTGGGAGTTTTTCGACCTTTTTACTATCAACACTTTGTGGTTCACGTTCGGAAGATGATGGGATAGACGAGGTTTTAGGATCTGGTGTGCGAGCGTTCGATTTAGTGAAAATGGTTTGCTTCTTTTTCCTAACAACTTTTGCCCCAACACCCCGACCCAGCTTGCCTCCCATCTTTTGGAATATAAGATGACCTATTGTGTTTCTTTATTTATCGATATTTATAATAAATGAGATATATCTAAAAAATAACTTGAAATATAGTTTATAGGGTTAGGAATAAAATCAAAACATTTATTTAAAAAAAACCTAATAAAAATATATAAAAAAACATACGATCAAATAAAAAACAATGATTAAATTTTCAAGTCTAAAATAAATTTTACAAGGTTAAAATTAAATTTATAAAATAATAATCTTTCTTATAAAAAAATAAAAGTTAACTGTATAAAATGAGCGAGTTATAATAAAATTAGATAAAAAATTTTGAAATAAAACCTATGATAGATTTTATATTTCCCAATAAGATTGTAGTATTAATTTTAATAAAAATAATTTAAAACATCGTTTCATTTTTTTTTCGTCTTTTTCTCCCGAAAATAAACAATGTTTCATAACTAATAAATACAGTTTTATAATCCAAAATTGTAGATAGAGAGAGTTATCGGTAGGCCTGTCCGATAGGATAGGATTTTAAAAATAATTAAAATATCATACGATATCCGAAGTATTAAAATCTATTAAAAATATCCGACGATATTTGAAATTTATAAATCGAATTATGGGGTAGGTTTGATCTGATTAAAACCCGATTTAGAAAAGTAACTATAGTATGCAATTTTTTTTAAACAAAATACATTGAAAAAACAAACATATAATGAATAGATATAAAACTTGTCGGGCAAGTGGAATAGGTTTTTGAAGAAAAGAAAATCCTGGCCAAGAATTTCGGCGTTTTTGATTGATGCGTTTTCGGCCTTTTGTCGCGTAGCCTTGTTAGTGACTTCCACTATTTTCGGCGCAATGCCGTATTCGGTAAAATCCTATTAGAAGTTTTTAAGATTGATAAGTATATTCTCTTTATTTTTCTTTTTTTTCATTCATTCTTTCCTTTCTTACTAATATATATGAATATAATTTATTATCAGCCAGTATTATCAAAGAAATTGATAAGCATATGCGATTTTATGTTGTTTTTAACTTGATAATTAATATTACTCTATTCACCAATGGTTTAATCTAGACGTTTCCTATCATCATAGTGAATCTATTCAGTGCCGCTTTAATAGTAAGTGAAAAATTTAGCGTGCAAGCCCATTTCGAAATTATTTGTATATTTTAGGGAAAAACAACAAACAACTTTTACCATCCATTTATTTTTTTCAAACTAAAATCTCGTTTATAAATCAAAAACAAAAATAATTTAAGGAAAAAAATTAGGTTTCACCTCTTCATCCATATAATCTTCGGGCCTTTGCTCGAGAGGGTCGTTCTTATCCTGCCTAGAGGATTTGAAGGACTTGGGATTCCATCCTAATCAAATAGATTTAATACATAAATTAATAGATTTTTTAAAATATCCTTTTTAATTTTTAATCTAAATTGTTAATGTTGAATGATCCATAGTAGTAGTGTTGCATAATCGGCTAATTTTAGCCGACTCCAAAATGGCTTAGTCGAGTTTTTCGGTGAAAAAATTAACCCAGCCTAACTAAGCTTAGCCTAAAAATCGACTAGACCTAATTAAGCTTAGTTGAAAATTAGGCTAAACCTAATTAGGCAAAAATTAGGAATCGGCTAATCGTCAGCGTACGTAATGAATATATATAATGTTAATAAATATGAATAAATAATAATTAAGGCTATGTTTAGTATTGCGTAACGCTGACGGACTATTAACCGAACTCCATACCGATGATGCCTATTAGGTTTATGCAAAGTTTTTAGCTGTTCTAAAACGAACAGAACGAATTATTCTATTCTTATATATAAATTGAACAATTTATTATTCGTAACTATACGAATAGTATGCAAATAATCTTATTATTCGTACAAATATGAATAATAAATTATTCGATAAGAATGGAATAGTAAAAGTAAATTCTTCGATTTACCGTTTATGTTTAATTCATATAATAATTATGCCCTTATTTCCAAAGCTGTTTTTATTAAATTTTTACTTTATGTTAGCACTAATCTATTTTTGATGGAAACTGTCCAACAAACTTAAAACAATTGCATCGAAAATAAATAGTAAAAGGTTTTTAACATTGTTTGAAGTTTAGTAGATTATTATTTATACCTTCTTTAGTGTCCACGGAATTGAAAAATCCGGCTGAAAATCCTCCAGTAAACGCCCCGTGAAATCTCCGCCTGCCCTTCTCGTCGACGACCACTTGATCTTGTGCGTGAACCGGTTTATTTCTCTTAAAAAGCAGTCCTCCTCCTAACAAATTATCGTCTTGAGGAACGTCTGCATTAAACAAAAAAAAATAGTATTCAAGAATATAATTTAAAAATGAGTAAATTATTTTTAAAAAATATTTTAAAATGTAAGAAAATTGGATGTCATATGCTCCATCTGTTCTGACATTTATTTTAAAACTGATTTAGGTTTCTCTTTTGCATTAGTAGAATTGCAAATAATTAAATCAGTATTCGATTCAAAAATTTAATTTTAACTTTAAAAAATTGTTTCCTTATAAAATATATACATAAATTTAATTGAATCGATAAAAATAAAAGCAAAACTTTATATAAAAAGGAATATAAATAGATTAATAAATTATTCGAATCGCTAAAACAAACGAATAATTACTTATTCTTATGATTTGTATAATTATGATAGAAATGATTGAATATTTTTGTCCATATCCAAATCCATCATGGTTTGGCAGTATTGCGGATATTAATACTATCTTATATCTTTTTTAAACTTTTTGAAAGCTGAAGGCTCGCTCTTGCTACTAAACATATGGTAATTCCTCTCAAACTATTGCAAATACTTTCGCCATAGGCTGTTGCGAAAAAGTGTCATTCTGTTTTGATTCTGAAATCGAGTTCATGATGGCAAAGATATAGAAATTTTTATATTGCTTTTGGTATATTTTGAAATTTTGATTTAAGAAAATTAATCATTTTAGTTTGTTAAATAAACGCCACATGCGTTGTGTTTTAGACATGATAACAGCATCATATAGTTAAAGTTTGTTCATATTATTTTCATGATAATACACCATAAAGGGATCAGGAGAATCCCTGAACGTGGTTCTGAGCCACAAAAGCATAATTTTTTGGAAAAATCACATATAACTAAAAATTCGCCATCATTCAATTTAAAATTTTGAAGAATAGTGCATATGCCCAGGTTCCTGGTCCTCCAGCTAATACACAATATTTTGGTTTTTACAGATCTACTAAAGCTCACTTTTATGGCAACATGTGTTTCTTTAAAATTAGAATATAATTCCCTAAGATTGCATAAAATGAGTCTTTTCTGCAATTGTCACTTTTCCACTTAGCCTATATTGATATAAAATGGTTTCAGGCATTCTACGACTGCTTTAATCGGAATTATAAAATTTTTTAATAATATATAATATGTCTTGAAAAACACTCCCAAAGGAAGTACATTTCTAAGACCTTCACAAAGTATGTTTATCAAAATCGTGCGAATTTTAGGAAAGAAGAATATATTACATTAATCACCTTGTTTAATCTTTTACTTAAATACATAAAATATTTAAAAGATTTTAGCTTAAATATATTACAATTACGAATTTTTACAATTGACTAATGATTAAAATTAGTTATTACCTACACCTAAGATCGACCCAACTTGAAATTTTTCATATTTATTAATTTTAAAAAAATGAAGAAATAAAATGCCGATTTGATTTTATTTTCCGGATTTTGCATTTAGATTTTTAAAATAATCTTTAACATTATATAACTTTAAAGGCCTACCATTAGGCTATATAAAGAAATTTAAATGACGCTTTTAGATCAATTATATACAAAATTAAAGGGATATTCCCAAAATGCCCAATTCTGACCTTTAGAAACCCGCATCTCAGCAGTTGGAAGATAAAATTTTATTCTTCTTTTAGTTATAATTAATAAATGCAAACTCTAGTAAAAATATTAGAAAGATCTGAGGGCTAGGGTTAAAACTCATTTTGATTTATGATAGAATTCACAATATATACGAAGTGAAAACCTTGGCGACGCTATCTCTTCCAAAATATGCAAAATTACCAAAAATTGATATTTTTATTTGCATAAATAAATGGCGCTATATGAAATTATGGATAATGGTTAAAAATTTTTGCTAATCTACCAAAAACAGCATATTATTTTTTTATACTAAAATATTTCGAATATTTGGGTCATACCAGGTCAAATCGATCAAAATGTATCATTTCCAGCCGACCCTTTTCAAAATTGTTAAATTGCTGGAATTATTTAGATCGGTAAAAAAATAAGTGGGCGGTTTATTTTAGCTAGCTAGCACACCTGGTTCAGGAGATACAGAGCCTCAAAGGTGCAAAAAATGAAGATTTTTACGGCTGTAAAATTTTTAAATTGTTTATAGCTTAAAACCTTTATAGATATGAATTCTATTAACCCTTCAATACTCCAGTGAAAAAAAATGAGGTTAGTTCTCGGGCGGGGTTTAATAGACCCCAATTACAAATGTATATATCTCCAGTTATATTCATTCTTTTCATTTGATATTTGGATATAAGATAGATTCAACCTTAAGCTTGATAAAATATTTAAGTATTTTTATTTCTTAAGCCTAGATTAAAGATGATGAGGATAATTATAATTTGTGCCAAATTTTTTTAAAAAAAGCAGCTTTTTTTAAATTTCAAATATAAAATTAAAAAAATAACTTATCCATTATATAATCATGATAATTCATAATATGGATCTTTATTCTTCAATATAAAAAAAAATTACACCAATACATTCAAATATAAAAAAAAATAGAACATTGAAATATGCTAAATTTGACATGCAAAAACATTTATTACATAAAATATTTATGTGTTCTAAACATAAATTTATTTGACAATTTTTTTATAAGGAGTATAGTTTTATGCCATATTTTGATGGTTTATTTGGCATGTATTGCCTGAATGGGCATCTACCAATGCTGGAAGCATTTCATCTACGGTTGCATATTCTGATATTGTATAAGATTTGTAGCAGTTATCAACAAATTCTTGAAAAATATTTCTAATGTGAGTTGCCTTGTCTACCATTTTTCTCTCTTCTCTTAATAATATGTCATCAAATCTTATTGTATGGATTAGAAATCTGAATCTTTTGAGTGTCATTGTTGCTCTAAATATCTTAATTCCAAACCCATCAGATTTCCATAAATCTGAGATATTTTGATGATTTTATTTGGAAATTCCAGCTAAATAAAGAATTCTTAATAATGCCTTGAATTCTATTACATCAACCTCTTTAGTAGAATTTTCATATTGATCAGTGTACTTTTTACTTAAAATTTTAATTTTTCCATTTGTGATAAATAATTTCTTCAATCATTTTTGGTGATATGAACAAATCGAAACATTTTTCTGCGGTGTCAGCTTTTTTCCCATATTCTTTTACTCCTAGCATATGAAAAATTAAATTTTGTTGACGTGTTCTTACTCTTTGATTTAAAATCCTTTTTCCATTAAGTCACCTTATTTTTAGCTAATTTTACAGTGAAATAGATATCATAAATAATTCCATATTTACCTAAATAATATTTAAGTTTATTGTCTGTAGCATATCTTCTTCATCTAATTCAGATTGTGTATCATGATCACTATCATAAATAGAATCTTCTTCCTTATTATCAATTAAATATAATCACCTCAAATAAAATGATATTACATCTTAAATAATTTTTTATTTACTATCAGAATCTGCAAAAATCATAGTATATGATAAAAATAATTTGAGAAATGAGCCAGATGGTGAAAATAAGAATATAATAACTCCACCAAAAAAAATGTTTAAGTTTTCTTTTTCATATATCTCAATCAAAATAAAAGATATTTAAATTTTGTTTTAATAAATTTTATAATATAGTAGTATATATATAGTGATCTGCATCGGGCCTAATTTTTCAAGCCCGGCATGGCCCAAAATTTTTTTATAAAGATTTGCCCGGCCCGAACCCGAAATTTTTTTTAAAAAAATTTTGCCAGCCTGGCTTGAAATATAAATTAATTTCTATAATAACTCAAAATAAACATATTTATTATTTGGCGTCAACTTTATATAAATAAAAATCACATATTTTTATTTTACATAAAAAATTCAACATAAAATTGATTAATTTAGATATATTTTTAAAAATTTCTAAGGCTGACCCGACCCAGCCCGAATTTTCTTAAAAAATATTAGGCCCGGCCCAAAGCCCGTTCGGGCTGGGCCTATTTTTGCAGATCTCTAGTAGTATATATTTATAATTTTTTTTAAAAAAAATTTCTTAAAAAATTACAAATTTACTCTGGTGGGGTCTCATAAACCCCAATCAGTTAAATGCTTATATCTTAAAAACTACTCAACCGAAATATATGAAATTTGGAATATAGATTCTAAGATATATTTGATAAAGCTACAGAAGAATCCAGATCATAATATTTAACCGTTTTTATGTAATATCATTGCTAGCATGTCTGGGGTTTCATATACCCCACCAGAATATTGAAGGTTTAAAATGAATGAGAATATATTATTCAGGCAGATTTTGCTGAGAATTATACTTTATGGTTAAAGGTGAAGTTACTGGAATAAAGAGCAAGTTATCAGTCATCCTTTCATTTAAGTTAATAAAATTATATTGGAATCTTTCATTCATAATACAATTGCCATTTATCCCAACAAAATTCTGCTACTTTTCAGATGTAGCAGCATCACAAATCAATCTTTGCGAACATAAAATGATTTCGAAAGCTGAGTAGCATTTCTAGCCCACATCCCATGGCAAATCTGCATGTAATGGAGTTGGAGGTACAGTCAAACATAATGAGATGGGTAGTTTACAAAGCCCTGTTTCAGAAAAAATAACTTGCCATAAAGAGTTTTGTTGCCTATTATAAGGAAAATATTAAAGGCATAAGATTTATAATTTATTAATATATATTATTTTTTTTTATTAAGGAATAGATTTCGCCTATATTATGGAAGAACAAGAGAAAACAAATAATTTTAGAAGAGAGATTCAATAAAAGGTGAACAATAACATGAGTGCAAAAATTTCATATTTTTATTCAATTTCAGGATAAAATTGAAGCTAAATTTTATTCAAATTTAAACAATTCACAAATATTAAATATAACATTTGACTTAGATAATAATTTGATAAACAGTGAATATGAAAGGATTAAAAATATAGTAACCAAAAGATAAGATAAAAATTTGGCCCTTATTAATGATGGGTAGACAGATATAAAAGTGGAATGAATTATAAATTTTATCATGGGAATCCTACCCATTTTCTACAAATTAATAGTTAGGGTCCAATATGTATAAGGGAGTATATCTAGTGAATTTATTAAAGTAATTGAAGGAATAAGAAACACAGTAAAGAATAAGGCATGTCATGAAATAAAACACACTTAAAAATACATATTCAATTATGACATTGGGTCTGCATCTCATGGACTTAGTTTGCTTTAAAGGGCCTAGCAAATAAAATATTGCTAATTTATATTTTAGTAGTAAAAGCCAACAAAGTATTATAAAATATGTAAAATTCAACATTCTTTTACACATTTAAAAACAACGGCTTATAGATAAAAATATGATTGTTTCATTAAAGTTGCCTAGCTTATCTAACTTTTAGGACAGTATGGTAATGATAATTAATAGTCTATTAAAAAATAAAGATATCTTGAGGCAAATTCTGTAAAGTCATTCTATACAAATAGAGGAAGTCAAAGTGGACAAATCAAAGTTATATGAAGTTCCTCATTCATATCGGAAATCTTTTATAGAAGGAAATTTTAGAGATCAAACAATTTATAATAAAAAAAAATCAGGATATTTTGTTGCAGAATTAGTTTTAAAGACAAAAAGTTGTTATTAAAGGATTATTTGTTACAAGCCGATTATCTGGATATCTAGGATGTTGCTAGACAAATGACAAATTGCTCAATTTTAGAGATCTGGAATTGTTTTAAGCAAAGATAACAAATTAAATAATTGAAAGTATTTTTTTAAATAATATATTAATAATTTATATATTTTTGATGAAACATGAAAAAAATCAATATTGACGCGTAAAATAATTTTTTAAAGGAAATTTCTTTCCACAAATTTCCCTTAATTTTAGTTTCCCAGAAAATTTACATTTTTAACTATAAATAATTTTTGAGATATAAGAATTTTAGAAAACTGATTCGAAAGTCAGTATTTTTGCACTTTTGAGACCCTGTATCTTGGGAACCAGGTGTGTTAGCAAGCTAAAATAAACAAATTTCTCATTTTTTAACATATCTATACAACTCCATAAATTTTTAACAATTTTAAAAGGGGGTTGACCAGTGATCGATTTGACATGGAATGATCCAAGTCTGGTCTAAATTTATATTTATCTAAATGCCCAGCCTAACTCAAAAATTTTTTATGCACACCAAGGCCATTATAATATTTTGTTCAACACATTTTAATTTTTTTTAATAAAGCATTATAAAGAATAGGCCCTACTGGAGATCTACAAAGATTGGCCTATCCAAAAGAAAAATTATAAAGAACAAGGCCAAACAAAAAAATTTAATGGGCTGGGTCAGACCTGGCTATTTGTACATAAAAAATATTCAGGCCAGGTTACAAAATTTATACTTAAAAAATCAAGCAAGGCCTTGATAATCTCTAATTAGTAAAATATTAATAAGTTTTTCTAAGAATAAAAATCTTGATATATATTTTTTTGAATTTCATTTGATGAATACTATAAAAATATATTATGATATGCGTATTTCTTTTTTTAAGAACTGTCTAACTAATTAAACAGGTCATTTCTGATATGACCAATTATACAATACAGATATCAAACACAATTAATTTATAAAATGTTGTAGAGAGAAATATATAGGAATAGAGGAAAGATATAAGAGCTTGAACTAACATTTGAGAAAAATTAAGGGGCCAGGCCAAGTCAGATTTTTTGAAAAATATTAAAAGTCAGGCCAGGATAAAATTATAAGCTGTTGGGCCACAAAATATTTTTAACGGAGTAGTCCAGCTGGGCAACTTGTTCAAAAATTGTTAATGGATAAATTGAGCTGGACTTTGCAGACCTTTGGTTTGATTATAAATGTAGTTTGTTTAAAAAACAATAATTAAATTTGGTAAAGTGTACAATTAAAGATTTTTCTAAACAAATAGACTATTTTTATGAGTAAATTTTCAAAGCCTTTGGGACTTCCACACCTCTGAGAGCCCTTGTAATATGCCATTAATTTACATACTTCCACCTATTAAAAATTCTAAAAATAAAAATTTTTGTGAATAAAAAGTTATTTCCAAGTTAACTGAATAGAATGGTGTTTTTTAAAAGTTTAATATATAAATCATGAATAATTTTTTTAAAATTATATTTATAAAAGAATAAAGATAGCTAACCATCTTCATCAATCAAAGGGGTTCCATAAGTAATATAGTTTTTTTTCATGATTTTCAAAATAAAATAAGTTAATACATGTTATATTTTTTTAAAACAATAGATTCGGTTGACAAATAGCCATATTAGTAAAAAGCATGTTAAAATAAAATTATATATGCAAACTTTAAAATGATAAAATTGTTCAATAGCTTTGATATCTGAAAGGTAACCTGTAGACCCGGTTTTAAGTTTTAATTTTTCTATTTTGCTGGGTCGTATATTTCTCGAAACTGACATTAATTCGATATTAAATGATGATAGTTCTTCTCCTTTGTGTAACGAGCATAGGGGATTTCATATTTTCACTCAATTTAATTTTATCTGGAATTATGCATCTTATATTGTATTTATTGTTATAACCAGTTATTTACTGCTTAAAAATAATGCGGGGGGGGGGGGGGGCTACTTTATATAAATTAAGAACTTGTATATAAATACGATTACAAATATTTCCATAAATCTTTTATTTTTTCATTTCCTTTGGACTGTATTTCTGAATGTATTTTATTCGCCTACTATGTTACCTTTTCCATATTTTGATATATTGATCTGGAATCCCATCTAATATCGAAGTTACAATCAGTAAAATTAACAAATTAATTAAACTTCATTAGTATGTATACTTTAATCATGTTCATGAGATAAAAGCCCCTTTCTCATTCGATATTACAGTAGAAAGTATGTACAGTTCTTAATTTTTTTCAATTTTTCATTATAAATTATTCTCAATTAATATATTATAGAAGCCAGGCAATCGTTTCATATTTATTTAATAGGAATCTTTGGCAGATTTTTTTTATTTGCACCTCGCCAAATCGCACATCTATGTTCTTAGGCCAATTATATTTTTGAATAAAGAATTTTTAAAATTAAAAAATAATTTTTTTAAAATTTATTAAGTCATTTTACCCTCAATTTTAAAGCTATCCATTAGACAAGACTTCATAATACTTTCTAGAGAAATATTAAATTCAGATATTTTTAATCTCATTAGTTTTGGATTTCTTTATGGCATATTTTTATATAAAGGTGTAGATGATGCTGGTGTGGTCATACAAAAAATATATAAATTATATTCTATTTTATTATGTTCTACTCTACACACTATATATATATATCATCTAAGATAATTAGAATATATATAATCAAAACGAAATGCAAAAGTAATATAAGATTAAGTTGTAAAAGGTTAAATTATAAGTTGAATGGCAAAAATAAGTTGAATGGTAAAAATAAGATAAATATATCAAAATATAAAAATGAAAATCATTTAACGAAGGCGCTATATAAGTATTTAAATTTATTATATAACATTCTCCCTCTTCTAAAGAGTCTTCCCATATTTTATCTAAGCTGTCACCAGGGCCGTAGCCACGGGGGAGGGAACATAGGGGGGGGGGGGCAAAAATATTTTGGCCCCCAAACCTGGTCCCCAAAAATTTTTCTGCCCCCCCCCCCCAATTTGAAATTTTTTTTAGAATTGATTTTTTTTATATTTTTAATATAAATTTTGAATATTTATTCAAAAATATTCAAAAATATTCAAAAAACATGTCTATTTAAAATTGATTATTTTTATATTTTTAAAATAAATTTTGAATATTTATTCTACAAACATGTCTAGTTTGTAAATTTTTTTCTATCCTGTTTTATTTTTATTTTTACCCAATATTAAGTTATCATTCATTCATTTTTTTTTTATTTTTTTTTGTTGTATATAACATTCTCTATAGGTATCACATTTATATTATAATATATAACCAGTTATTTTATTTTACAGCGTTTATTTTAAAATTATGAAGAAATAATCAGTTATTAACTCTTATTTTAAGTTAAAGTTAAACAAATGTCAAGCAACATCACCTTTACAAACTACAAGTAATACTACTTCTGAAATTTCAGAAACTGATTCTTCTCATAGTTAGTATAAATTTATATTATTATTTCATGACTTATATGATATTGATATAGGGCAATACCTATATATTATTATTTCATATATATTTATTTTATATAAGATAAGAGACAGACATTTATTAATAATATTATCATTTTTGTATAATAATTTTAATTATTAAAATAAATATATTCACTCATATTTCAAGATATGAATTTAGCTAATAATCTAGAAAATAATCCTCACTACACTCAGGAGGAGGAAGATGGTAAATAGTTTAAAATTAAACCCAAATTTTTCTATTTATATATTTTGGACAATATCAATAGGAGTAGGAGATTATGGTGTTTCATTATTACATTTTGATTTTAAAACAAATAAAGACGAAGAAGAGACTCAATCATCTTCATCTAGCAGCTCAGTCTCTCATTGACAAGAGGCAACTAGTAATTGATTTATAAACATAAAAATATTATATTTTTTTGTTAATCTTTAAAGATATAAAGTTTATGACCTTTTTCTAGTTTTTAATATTGAATATCTAATTTTACTGATCAACTTTACTAATAATCTTCATCAGGATTGGGCACTACATTATAGCAAATACTTGTATCTTAAATACAAGATAAATTTTGTGTTTGTTCATTTTCAGCATGCCCTTCCTTCGTCCATCCTGATGACCATTATTATTTATGACCCTTTCCCTCATTACAATTTATTAATTATAATATTTTTAGTGTCAAAAAGTCCTCTAATGGTTCAATTCAAATTCCAGGTGACCTTGGCCAAAATAAACCAAATCAAATCAACAATTACGCGAAAAAAGATATCCATGGAAGGCAAAGATCATTTCAAAAATCATGGTATAGAGGCCGAGACTGGTTGGAGTATAGTGTAGAAGCTGACGCTGCCTTTTGTTTTCCATGTAGGAAATACTTGTGTAATCCAAGTGATGAATTTGGACAAACAAGATTCAGAAATTGGAAAAATGCGTTAGCTGCCAAAAAGGGACTGCTAAAACACAATAGCTCTTAAGCTCATTTAAATTCAATTACAATATGGCATGATAAAAATCAAAATATAAACAAAGGTACAGAAATAACTAAAATGTTGGGAGGTGATCAAATTAATCGTAATCAATATTATATTAAATCAATATTTGATTTGATGCTATTTATTAGCATACAAGAGCTACCTTTCCGTGGGACTGGTTCAACAAATATTACGAATGCTGCAAAAGATGAAAACATAATTTATTCTACTGGGCTATTCATAGCAATGTTTTCCTACTCCATCCAAAAAGACCCTGAATTAAATAAAATTATGAAATTTATACCCCAAAATGCCCAGTATACATCACCACGGATTCAAAACGAAGTAATATCCATTATGGCAGATATGGTGAACATATTTCAGACAAATATAATAAAAGCGAGATGCCTTTTTTTTGTCTTAAGGCTGATGAGACAAAAGATGCTTCAGGTTGTGAAAACCTGAGCATAATAATTCGCTATATTTTTTCTGGAGAAATCCAAGAAAATTTAATAGAAATCATTAATCTAGAGTGTCTTTCTGCTAAAGGCATTACAGATTGCATTTTAAAGCAACTTAATGATCTAAATATTAATTCAGCTAATATAATAAGCCAGGCATATGATGGTGCAAACGTTATGTCTGGCCGAAATGGAGGAGTGCAAACACTTCTTCAAAAAAAAATTAATAAAAATGTTACTTTTATACATTGCTACAACCACAAGTTGCATCTTGTGTTCAAAATTGGTATAATAATATTGTTATTATTTCTAATTTTTTTAATTTATCAAATGCATTGTATAATTTTTTCAGGCGTTTTAACGTATCCTGTAAATATACAGGCCACACCCTTAAGAGACTTTTAGACCAGAGGTAGACTGGTCATTTGGAAACATCTCGCATTATTTATGAGAATTTTGAGGCTATTGGTGAAGTATTATTTTACTTTCTAATAGAACTCTTAATTCAGAGGTTTCAATTCATGGTTCAGTCGAAGCCTCTGGTCTTTTATCTCAATGTATTAATATAAATTACATTATATTAGCCATCATAATTTATGAGATATTAATTACAATAGATCCAATAAAATAATAAGTATCTACAATCAGTAGGTACTAATCTAGTGGATGCTAAAAATTGTATTGATTCTACTAACAATATATTAAAAAATAAAAGAAGTGATAATTCTTTTGCTTTGATTATGATTAAGGCTGAAAAACCTTTATCAAAATTTAATCTTACTCCCCAAAAATCATCACAGGTACGTAAAACGCCTAAAAATTTCCAAGATTTTTTAGTTGATAGCAAACTAGAATTCGATTGTGAAGAAGACTCCAATTGGAGTTCTTTAAAAAGGATATATTATGAAATTATAGATAACTTTGTGGATCGTTTTTTAGACCGATTTACAGAAGATGATTTTAGTCTTTTTTCATCTTTTAATACATTGTCTCCCCTTGTCCCTGATTATTTTTTATCAGATAAAATGGCCCCATTAAAATCCCTGTTAAACTTAAATATGGAAACACTGCATCATGAAATGAAGATAGCAAAAAGATTGCTAGCTTCGGAAGCTAAAGAAAATCATAATTTTGAAAATATCTTACATATTATGTATAAAAAAAAATATAATCATGTATTTAAAGAATTATATAAATGCTACTCAGCAGCGATAATCATTGGGATATCAACGGCTTCTTGTGAGGCCTCTTTCTCTACATTAAAGAGAGTTTAATCGAGCAGTAGAGAAGGATAAACGTAACGAAAATTTAGTATTAATGGCGTATGAAAAAAGAATAACGCAGAATTTATCTTTTAGTTCATTTATATTAAAATTTAAAAATAAAAATCGCCGTATTCTATTATAGTAATATTTTGTTTTGTATATGCATATTATAGTATTATTTTATTTTGTATATTCATATTATAGTATTATTTTGTTATTAAATTTTTAATAAAAATAGGAAAAAATTTATATGAATGCGTAATTATTTGTTTGATTTTAAAAAAATAGTGCCCCCCCCCCAAGTAAGCACTTGGCCCCCCTAAGTGAAAATTCCTGGCTACGGCCCTGGCTGTCACAGAAAGCTTGTCGTTCAAGTGATTCTTCAAATCGTTTCATGTGTCATTGTAATCGTTGGCTT